CATTTGATTGTCATAGAAAAGTTTCTTTGCCATAAATTAGGTAACTTTGACCTTGCTTGGATATTTTGTGGCTATTTTTACACAAAAAGAACTCTGGATTTGGGCAGTAACTTTATTCCATTAAAGTTGTAAAAGAGACTGCAGCTTGTGATCTAGAGTATGCATAAACAGATACTAGTATGCGACTCTTAGTTCAAGTACAGCTCTGTACATATTATGTACTTTTACTGAAAGAATTAGTGTATATAAAACAGAATATTCTTTCATGAAAACAAAATGAACAAAATCATCCTCAGAGTGTTCATTAAACAATAGAAATCAGAAGCAGAGCAAACACAGACTTCTAAAACATCAGAGGTTGAATAAAGTACAACGAGGGAATAAGCTTCCACCGTTGATCGGTCACACTCTTCACGAAACATTAAAACAATGATCATCATTTAGAAGTTGAAAACGTTTCTATAATCAAGCAACGTACTAAAGTGAAGTAAATGGAGATAACGAACATTAGTCAAGCTTATAAGTAAGGAAAATGTAGAGAAATGGGCTCGCCGCTTGTACTTTATAGCCACGTTTCCACTTGTAATGAGCAGAAATATGACACAGGCGAGCTTTAAGGATACATGGGAAGGTGTAGCGAGATAGTGGTCAAGTTGAACACACATTGTTCCATAGGTAAAGTAAATCATTAAAAACAATGGAAGAAAAAAGATGTCCTTATGTATGAAATATATGGAGATAACGAATAGCATTGAAGCTCAAATGTCCATAAAACAACACAAAATAGGAGCGGAACAAACACGGACCTCCAAAACATCAGAGGAGTGAGCATCCCCTGCCGACCGGTCACACCTACCCGCCATGTGCTCCTTGTCATGATCGAAAAAAAAAACTGGACATATACATCGTCAATTCAGTATGTAAATACTGGTCCTTGCTGACAAACAGGTAACAACATTGTCTTCGTTTGTAAGGCTTATTATATAAATTGTATTTTAGAAGAACTTGGATTTAATTCTACAAGTGGTAATCCAACTTATACTCATTGTTCCCTTTCTAAGGAAGAAACTCTTCAAAATCATATGTCATTTTCGAAAATTTTTATCCAGGACTTTTGACATCATTGACATCTGCTTTTTCAATAAAAATGGAACTCGTAAATTTACTTACCCTATCATTGGTCATTTGCAAAATTATTTTGTTGAAAAAGATTCTGATTGTACACACAAGTACTCTGAAGTTGACATCAAAAAGTTGCTTGAGTTTCTGATTGACAATATCTACGTTGTTTTTGGAGAAAAGGTCTTCCAACAATCCATTGGAATTCCCATGTGCAACTATTGCAAAAACGTTGTTACCACACCTATTTTTGTATTCATATGAAGCAGGCTTTGTACAATATCTTATGCGTGAAAAGAAGAAAACACTTGCTGTGGCCTTCAACTCAACATTTAGGTATATCGACGACGTCAATTAACAATGGTAATTTCCATTCTTATGTCGATACGATAATCGATTTATCCTGGTGAACTTGAGATAAAAGATACCACAAAGTCTGACACATCTGTTTCATATTTGGATATTTTACTTGAAAAAGACGTTAATGGTAATCTTACAAGCAAACTCTATGATAAAGATGCCTTTAACGTTTCTATCGTCAACCTCGCTTACTTATGCAGCAGTATACCTTCATCACCTGCATAGGGAGTTAAAATATATCAGTGGATTCAATACGCAAGAGCATGTTGTACGCATGAACAATATTTGAAACGAGGTAAATTATCGACAAAGAGGTTGATGACACAAGAATATCAACAGTTTCGATTAAAGTCATCATTTCTATGGTCTATGGTCGATACAATGACCTTGTCAGCAAATGCAATTTATCACTGTGTCAAATGCTGACTGACGTATTTCATACTTATTATTTTATATTATATATACTCTGAATTGACAACGGATTTTTCCGTTATTTCCCGATCATAACAAGGAATGCATGGCGGGTTCGTCGGTCGGCAGGGGATGCTCACTCCTCCATGGCGCCTGGTCCAGCCTCTGGTGTTTTGGAGGTCCGTTTTTGCTCTGCTTCTGTTTTGTAATGTTTTATGGACTTTTGATTTTGAGTTACTATTTATTGTCTCCATATGTTTCACTCAATGATAAAATGTATTTGCTGACAAGGTCATTGTATCGACCATAGAAATTACAAAATGATGCCTTTAAACGAGACTGCTGATATTCTTTGTCTTCATATTATTCTTCTTCCATTAATGTGCCAGGCACCAATGTTGGGCATTATTGTTTGTCAATAATTTACCTCGTTTTTAGAAATTGTATATACGTAGAGCATGCCCTTGCGTATCGAATCAACTGAGAGATATAAACCCTGTATGCAGGTGATGAAGGTAAATTGCTTCATAAGTAAGGGAAGTTGACGATTGAAAAGTTAAAGTCATCACGCTTATCATAGAGCTTGGTTGTTAGATTGTGTCAGACTCTGTGGTATCTTTTATCTCAAGTTTACCAGAATAAATCGTATCACTGGGATATGTGGTATCTTGACAATACGTCGTCGATATCTAATTGGTGAGTTGAGGGCTAAAGCAAGTATTTTTCTTCTTTTTATGTATTTGATTTTGGACAAATTCTGCTTCACATGAATACAAGAAAAGGTCTGTTCATAACGGGATGCAAGTAGTACTCATGGGAATTCAAATCGATTGTTGGAAGACCTGGTCTCCAAAAACCACATAGATATTGTCAATCAGAAACCCAAGGATCTTTTTGATGTCAATTTCAGAGCACTTGTGTGTATAATCAGAATGTTTTTAACAAAATAATTTTGCAAATATTCAATGACAAGGTAAGTAAACTAACGAGTTCCATTTTTATTGAAAAAGCAGCTGTCAATGATATTAAGTTGTGGAATCCAAGATAGATATGGTAATTCCAAATTCTTTTTGGTTGTTTGGATTGTTTTAAATATTCAAAACTGACATATGATTAACACTTGTAAAATTAAATTTAAGTTCTAAAATGCAGTTTATATAATTAGCTTACAAACAAAGACAATGTTGTTACCTGCTTTGTCAACAGGGAACAGTACGTACTAATCATGTAATCTATCAAATTTTTTTCTCTGGATAACCGAATACAAAAGGATAGATTGTTTTCATATTGCCTCTCAATCTTCTTATGCGCGATTGTAAAATAGATCCGATACATTTAATCCAATATGACAAAGTGTCAACGTCTTCTTTTTTTTATATCTGGCCCATTGCTTGGCGTAATCTTCTACAGAATCCATAATATTTATGATAATCCGACGCCAGTTGAAGAATTGGGGTTTTATATATTAAGGACTTTTGAAATAAGTGATCTAAGGACCTCATTATTTACTATATTTACGTCACCAGTAATAACGTGCCCAGCAGGACTATAATTATAGGATGACGAAGAACATGAACTCGGTGGAGGATTCTGTATCAGATATTGGATATCCAGGCCCGGTAAATTCTTTTTTATATAAATACCATTGCTTTGTAGACTATGGTACACCAGAGCCAACTCGGAATCCAGAGACTGTTGTCAAAATTTCCACAACAACCTTGAAGCAAACAACAAAGTCATTAGAAGTACCAAACAAAGAAAGTAGTACATCTACATTTGCTGGAGGTATGTATTTTTGTATGTGGATCAAGACGAAAATTATGTTTCAAATTATGATTCCACTTGCTCAAAATTTTATCTTGCAGTGTTAATTTTTTTTCTCTTTCAGAAAAGTCTGGACATAACAAAGCCATTTTGAATAGTTGCAGTATTACATATTTAATGTTTTCATTATTGCTAACGCTATTAATTATGTCAATATTACATTATTAATACAATTTATTTTTATACCAATTCCAGAAGTGCCATGTATTTAATATCCCAAAAAATCAGCAAAAATAAATATCAAGCAATCGTAATCTCTCATTGTAAACCACAGATTATTAACAAAAATAATTCACTGCCATAATCATTCCTATACATTGTATTCATCATTGAGACATATGGTATTTTTTTGACATTAGCTAGGAAAGTCAAAAAGCAAAAGAAATAATATGTAGATGGAATAAGATGCAAGTATATGAGGATTAAATTGTATAGTGGGCGTGTGAAGGTGTGTATGTTTCTTTTCATATTAAAATCACCTATGCATTTTTGATGGATGAATTTCTGTAATAAATGTAATCATATCATTATACCTTAAGTGCTGAACTGTCTTAGTTTGGTTTAAACTTAACCCATATTTTATCTATTTTATTTTGCGTGACATATAGAATGTTTGATCACAAAAAAAATTATAAAACTATTTATGATGATTTCCCGTTGATAAGATATTGAAAATAGGTAATGTTGAAGGCGATATGCTATTAAATTAGTTATTCCTATATATATATATATTTATAAATATGTATGATGTCTGTGTTTGTATGGTTGCAGTAATATTTCTAGATCATACTCTGTATTCTTCAAAATTTGACACAAATAAATGTATATAATGCTTTTTTGTGTTGTGTGAACTTTTATGCAGGATGAAAAGAATTGTAAGAATTACCTTCACATTCCTGCGATTGTTTATCTTTGTAAGACATACGATGTGTCTGACCTAGATTGCTATTCCGACAGGAAATATATTTGACACGTTTAGATAGCAAATTTTATTCTCTGATAGAAGTCATCTTTTTCATCTAAAAATTCCTTTTTGTGATGTGTAAGGACAAAAAATATACAAAAGTTAACGCTATTTCAATTATTTTCATTTTAAAACAATTCATATAAACCAAATATGTTATCGCAATGGAATATATTTTGCAGAATTTCTTTTCTAAATGTAAACTTTTTTTTTATTTTTTATAAGGAAGAACCTAGAATAATTAATAATAAAGATGACAGGACATAATTTTTGACAGCGCAGAAATAAACTAAGCAGTAAACAGTGATACAGGTACTTCACATTTCTCGATTGTTCTAAGTATTTGTGATGTATAACACATGTTGTACTAGTCTTGTTGTACTAGTTCTGTACCGTGAATGTTTCCTGGGAGTTTAATGTATACACGTGGATTAATACGTAGTATGAATTGTTCAAAAATCAGTGTTAAACCTTGACCCGGTGAGCGATAAAAGCCGTTTTATCAAGTTCACCTAATGTACATTGTCAAATGGTGCATGTTTATTGAATAAATGCATGAAGTGGATTTAATTTAGCCACATAAAACCAAGAGCAGACAAAAAATGTCGGAGTGTCGAGTTCTCATCGCTATGGATGGTAGTGAAGATGCCGCCATGGCACTTAAATGTGAGTACATATAAATATTTAACAGATTTTTTTGTCTCCAAGTCATGTTATTTTGTATTGCAATGTACATGTATGCTCTGTCAACTTATATGATAGTTGTGCATTATTCTTTTGCTGTTTGCTTCATTACCCAATTTGTAGTAAAGACAAGATCTACTCGATAATTTATGACGAATGAAATGTTTCCTTTACTCCTGAACACCTAAGATTAAGAAAATAAACTTAATCTCGAGATTTGGGTATAAAATGAATAAAATTGTTCAGGTCTGTTTATGTATCACAAAAATGTATTTTTTTGAAAGAGTTTGCAAAAATCGAAATATTTTTTAACTGTGTAAAAGGTTTTAAATAAATATCTAACAAACACAACATTTTCTACATGGTATTGGTGTTCATTAGGTCATGTTGCTTGCTTTAGTTTCCTCTGAGTCTTTTTAAGCGGAAACTAAAATAATTATACTTTTTGAATGACCTTATTGTGTTACATAATGACAGGAAATATACCGTTACTGTACCTGTTATTTCCACTACATTCTTATCATGATAATATACTTTACACTTCTTTTGATCTTCTTGCTGGACATTATGAGACCATCGAATGGACACCATGTAGACGCATTTTATTTACTTTTATATCCAGTTAGTATTGTTTATTTAGATGATATGTATTGTGTTTCAGACTATGTGGAGAATATCCATAGACCCGGTTACTACGTTATTCTGGCCCATTGTGCAGAGTACATGAATGTTAACTTTGGAAGTAAGTACAGACATTGTTCATTCTGGTGCTTCCTCTTGTATTGGTTCTCGTATATCCTCTGTCTATGTATGTATACCACATATAACAACACTATGGCTGCTGTTGTTGTCTAGTACACGTGTAACCTTCTGACGTGTATGTTTTGGTTGATCAAAGCTCAGAACAATTCGTTTGTTAACATGTTACAGAGGGCTTTGTGTTCTTCCTCAAAACTACTGCAGATCACTTAATTTCGCGACAACTTACTTTCGCGAGATAGTCAATGACTCTTTATTAGCGAGACAAAATTTTCACGAATCGTGGTCATTGCTCTATATAATCTTAAGGAATTCTATTATACGCGAGAATAAAATTTTCGCGAGCATACCGTCCCGCGTAATTACGCGAAAATAAAGTTCCCGCGAATAAAAAGTGATTTACAGTATTTTAATGTCATTGAATTAAATTGCCAAATATAAACGTTTATATAAATATCAAAATTATATGTCATTCTAGATTCTGTATTAAAATTTGTTTATAGTTGAAATGATATGTATATGAAAGGTTGGCAAGTATATATATTTTTGCAGTGGTTTCCCTGTCACAGGCAGACCCTACAATAGTAGAGCGAACAGTAAACGAGGAAGAAAAACGAATCCACGCTCTCATTGAACAACTGAACAAAATTCTGGAATCCCACAATGTGAGTACTTTTCCGCTCTCATTTATTTTATTTTCCTCCTTCACAACACTAGTGCTCTGAATGAAGGTTTATAGCTGAGTGATTTTTAAATTTGTTTACATAACCATTTGTTCGTTCATAAATACTTATTAAGTACATGTATCATGCTTTTTATTTAAAAAATTCAGTTAAGCGGTGAAGTGGTTCGCATTCAAGGTGAAGGCAATCCTGGTCATGACATAATTCACAAAGCAAATGAGAAGAAAGCGGACATGATAGTGACGGGGTCACGTGGTATGGGTAAATTAAGACGAACTTTTATGGGCAGTGTGAGTGACTTCTTGGTTCATCATTCCCACATCCCTGTCCTCGTGTGTAAGCACGAAAAACACGAACAGCAACACTGATTAGTGTACATCTTAACTATATTTTGATATATACTACATTCTACATTACTTTGGTCTCTAAAATACTTTATTATGTTTTCAATGTTTTTTAAGGAGCAATATAACTTCAAAAAATAATTTTTAAAAAGTTTAAAATTTTAAAATAATAACAAAAACATTTGAATTTCATATTGAAATGAAATGAATCCTTTTGGATAGAACTCTTTTACCGATATATACATGTACGAATAAAAATATTTGATAATACATGTATTAGATAAGCAGTGGGGCTTTGTATTCTTGCAGCTTAGGAAACCTTTAAGATATTGTTTGTGTGCCCTTTTCTGATGGTCTGACTAAAAACCTTTTGTTCTCTCATCTCCAAAAAAAAAAAGAGTCCTCATATTTTCGAGTGTTTTTGAAAAAAAAAACTACCTATCGACCCAAAACATTTATCCTTAATTGGGAGAGTGCAAGCAAAAATATTTTTAAAGATAGCCTTACTCAATTTTTTGTGAGTTGATAGTGAGTCACTGTCTTATGTACATGTAATTTTGATGACTGTGTATGTTATAAATACTCATAAATATTGTATGGAGTTAGTGTGAGTTTTAACGTTTTCAGAATGGCACTGAAATAAAACATTTTGATTTATATCTGTGTTTCTTTTTCTAATATATTATTAAATTAGAATAACGGTTAATGATAGACATTGCCATTTTGTAAAGGAGCGCGTTAATAAAACCCCAATAATGGAAAAGGCAAAAAGATAACCAGCAGTGATCGATCTCAAGAAATTTTACAAACACAGTACGCATATCTGTAAACAGGGTAGATAAGCACGGTCCTCCGGATTTCAAGAAGTGGGATCAGGTACCTCTGTGGGGGAAGCATCCTCTGTTGACTGGTCACACCCTCTGCGAGTGTTATGTGTGATAACAATAATAATTTTAATTGTAATGGGTTTAATAATTAATCGTTCTTAGAGCATACTTTTGAGAAGGAAATAAATTGGAATGCATTAACATCATATGCAGCTGTAGGTGAAGATGGAATATTTAACTACTTAATTAAAGGTACTTGGACACAGAATGATACAAGGATTAAACTTTTAATATTTCTCATTAATACACAACAAGATTGTCACTTTTCCTAAAGATTACGAATAAAGTTAATATTTGTGAAAGTGCAAGAATGTGTCAATCAAACCCGCCAAAAAATTTGAAGTTTTAATAACTTTTAAATGAAATAAGATTTTTAATTAATTTTTGTGTGAAATGCTATTAAAATATATAATTCGTGATATTATACAGAAAATATTAACTTCAAATCTGTGTCCAAGTACTTTTAAATAAGGAATGTGAGAATAAAAAGCTGACGTCATCTCGTTTGTCATATAATTTAGTTGTAGTTTGCCCTTTATCTTCTACAATCATCCAAATTTAAATTTCATTTTCAGTTGCATAATCAAGTGATATTTTAGAAAGTCAAATAATTAAGGTGTACAATTAATATCTACCGGAAATTCTTGAGTTTGTTGGAAGATTTTGTTGTTAGAAGTTGTTAGAAGACTACGTAAAGTTGTCAGTGAGGAACTCCCGCATTCTTACGAATCTTCTTCAAGGTACTTGTTTTTGTAGAATCATTATCAATTTAACGAGGTAATTTTGTTGATGATTGGTCATCACAAGATGTGAACTTTTCTGTTTTTGATGAAGAAGCAGTTGTCTATTAATACAATTTACATTTCATGAAAATCATTTTAAAAAGTTGTATCATTTTGTGTATTTGAAATTCGATATTTATAAAGTAAGTTATGAAATGGAATAAAAGATTTTACTTAAGGTAGGATTCTTCTCTGGTTTCTGACTAGATGAAACATTCAAAGTATATTTGCTTACATGCACTATATATTTAGGTGTATGAGATTTAAAAGACCATATTTTTCTTTCCTCATCACAATTAAACAGCTCTAAATAGAAATGGTAAACTGCGGTTGAAAACTAGCAGGGACTATATTTTTGGCGGAATGTAGGCGTATGAAAATATCTTCTTTTCTGCCTCTCAAAATTGTAATAGAACAATGAATTTAGTTATAATTTTTACACAATCGAAGACTTGGAGAATTTTTCAAATGTAAGTTAAATTAATAATAAAGGACTAAACTTTAAAATTATATAAAAAAAAAATATGATTTTCAAACAAACTAGAACAATGTTAACTTTTAAACGCTTCCTACCAAAGTGCAGATTTGGGCCAAAAATCCATAAAAAGTATTTTTTCTCTCTTAGTAAACGATCAAAGCTTTTGTTTTTGTAGCACTTTGTACATTAATACGACTACTTTATTATATGTGAAAATTAAAAAAAAAGTTAAATATAGGAAGCATATGAAAATGACTAACATATCCTGAAAAATTAAGAAAAAACAGAAAAAATTCGGATTAGCCAATATCCAGTTTAGTTAAATTATTTATGTAAATTTGGTAATATCATGCTGTAGACCCGATATAGTTATATCTTTTTATGCAAAAATAACAATGTTTAAACTTTTGAAATAGAAGTAGGCATCACATGATTGGCAACAGTATTTTTTTATTCTTAATGTCAAGGAAAAAGATAATGACCTTGACCTGACCTTACCTCTAATATAAAACGGTCACATTTAATCTCACTGATACTATCACTTTCTGATATTGTCTTCTTGATTCTATGAAAATTTCATAAATTTTTAAATACAAGAAATATGAGAAGAATCCTACCTAAAGCAAAAAGATTTGAAAATGCAAAATGGGATCTATAATATAAAAAAAAAAAGGTTTTAAAAAAGTATTAATTTCGAGCTGAAATAGAAGCTGTTATTCTTTATTTCAGGTTTCCAGGCATGTTTCATACTTATACACTACTTTCATTTTTCTATTTACTTCAATTGTTATATATACAGTGTATAATTCATACTGAAAAAACCTAAATGTTTTATCGTTGCAAAACATCACAGGTCACTTCTTATTTTACATAATGGTAGAAAACATTCTTTTCTAAGGCTTGATGAAAGGTAAATTGATTCCTCTGAAAATATATTTATATTTGTACTTTAATTTATAGAGTGCAAATGTATTTTTTTACAAGTTAGTTTGCAAGCACCTCGAATCATAATAAGATGCATAAAATGATAATTGGTGCACAAAAAGATTTAAATTGCTCGCTTAAATTTGAATATGTTTTTAAATGCAAAAAAGAAATTTCTTAAACAGTATAGTAAATGCTTAGAAAGAGGAAAAAATGATTATTTTCTTTTTAAAAAAATATCCCATCATAAAATGCAGTTCTTCACCCAATGTTTTTTAAAGAAAATTAATGGAGAGGTTTTCATTGAATAAAGTTAAATTAGCATCGAGAATCCGACTTAATTGATGAAATATGATGCAGTTATTTGAAGAAATAATAGTGCATATAAAATCTACAAAAAAGCGTGAGAACTAATCACTTTAAGTGGCCAAAGTTTGTTGATGTTAACTGACGGTTTTTCATACTAATTGTTAGTCCATTATTTATAACTGAATTGACGACGGATTTTTTCTTTATTTCCCGATCATGACAAGGAACACATGGCGGGTGTGACCGGTCGGCAGGGGATGCTCACTCCTCCATGGCACCTGATCCCGCATCTGATGTAGTGGAGTTTCTTGTTTGTTCTGCTCCTATTTTATATTGTTTTATGGATTTTTCATCATGAATACTGTTCTATATCTCCATATGTTTCATCTTAATGTTGTTGCTTTAGAGTTAAATGCCAGCAAACCATAGTAACGAAGTTAATAAGAATATTTTTGATATATCAGTTTACAAAAAAACATGTTAGAAATATTTATTATACAAATTAAAGTGTACTTTTGCAATACTCAATAGCATACAAAATTAATTCTATTAATAGTGTAATCTTTTAAATCATGAATATTCAAAAGTGTTATTTTTCATTACTCTTTACATAAACTGGATTCTTAAAATTCAAATAAATCCTTACGAAACAAAGATTTATTGCCAGTGATCCAGTAAATGCTCTATAAAGCCTCTTTCTTCAATCCTTTCAAAAATATAAATTGATCTAAGGGAGTAACTTCAGACCTACTGTACTACAGCATACTTTTTTTAACTTCCTGTAGTGTTAACTATATATTTTATCTCAAAACTTCAAAGACTGGCCTTCTTCCGATCCAGAATAAAAAAGATATGCTTAAGGTTTTTTTTACAGAGACACTTGCTGATATAATGTTAAAACAGTTTTAATGAAGTGAGAAAACTTTTAAATGAACTTTCAAAAAAGTTTTCTGAGAGTTAAAATAAATTTTAGTCGGGGCATTTTAGTCAGCCAGTCGGGAGAGGGCAAACGAACATTTTTAAGGTGCCCTCGCCAATTTTTAATTTTTTTTAAAATATATATTTAATACAAAATGTACCCTCTTACACTTTATACAACCATTCTTCACGAAAAGCTGGCATTACTGCTTCTTTATTTTTAAAAAGGAATTTTCTTGTATCCTGTGATTTGCCATCAACAAAGTTACTATGTTATTAACAGTAGAGAAAGAGAAAGTTCAAGATGTATGTCCAACAATATACAACTATTCCCCACAATAAATTAAAGTCCAGACATCAGTGACAGCTGCTTTTTCAATAAAAATGTAACTTGTAAATTTACTTACCTTGTCATTGGTCATTTGCAAAATTACTTTGTTAAGAAAACTCTGATTGTAAACACAAGTATTCTGAAGTTGATATTAAACGAATCTGATGCTTTAGTTTCTGATATAGACAATATCTGTGTTGTTTTTGGGGAACAGGTCTTCCAACAATCGATTGGAATTTCCATGGATACCAATTTCGCAACGTTATTAACAGAGCTATTTTTGTATTCATATGAAGCAGAATTTGTTCAAAATCTTTTACGTGAAAAAAAAAGAAAATACTTGCTGTGGCCTTCAACTCGACATTTAGATATATTGACGACTTATTGTCTATTAACAATCGTTATTTCCATTTTTATGTCGACACGATATATCCCGATGAGCTTGAGATAAAAGATACCATAGGAGTCTGACACATCTATTTCATTTTTGGATATTTTACTAGAAAAATAAGTTAATGTTTATCTAGCAACGCAGCTTTATGACAAACGTTATTATTTAGCTTTTTTTTAACAGCATCAATTTCCCTTACTTATGCAGCAATATACCTATGTCACCTGCATACGATTTATCTTAGTTGATTCGATACGGTAGAGCATGTTCTACGTATGAACAATTTCTCAAATGAGGTAAGTTACTGACAAATAATTTGATGAAGCAAGAATATCAACAGTCTCATTTAAGGTCATCATTTCGTTATTTTTATGGTCGATATGTCCACTGATTTTTCTGCCCCCCCCCCCCCCTACATGACAAGGAGCACATAGGGGTTTGACTTGTCAGCAAGAGATACGCACTCCTCCATGGCACCTGATTCCATCTCTGATTTTTTGGAGGTCCCTGTTGTTCCGCTCCTATTTTGTAATGTTTGATGGACATTTGAGCTCGAATACTGTTTGTTATCTTCATATGTTTTTATGGTCGATATGTCCACTGATTTTGCCCCCCCCCCACCACCACATGACAAGGAGCACATAGGGGTTTGACTTGTCAGCAAGAGATATGCACTCCTCCATGGCACCTGATCCCACCTCTGATTTTTTGGAGGTCCCTGTTGTTCCGCTCCTATTTTGTAATGTTTGATGGACTTTTGAGCTCGAATACTGTTCGTTATCTTGATATATTTCATATTTCTTCTTAAAAACATTAAATATATACAGTTAAAACAAGCATCGTGAAAACTTCGTCTTGGTTATAAATACCAACTTGCGAAAGTGCGGTGTTGTAAAAATTTTGTGATCTACAAATGTACAGAATTTTAAAGAATAATCAAGCTGTGCCTTGGGAAAAGGTTGTATATTGGGGCGCAATAAGTTAATTTAAGAAAAATTCTTGATTTCATAGTGATAAAAATGTACTTTAAAGTCAAGACTTGTTCTAGATAATATCTCATTGCAGCGACTATTTATACACGTTATCAGCTGAGTACCGAGACTAGAAACTTACATGTATATGTGATACTCGTGAGAGATTGTTTACAATTTGAGAAGTAAAATGAAGAAGATTTTAATTGCTGTTGATGGCAGCAAGGAATCTATATTTGCTCTCAAAGGTGAGTATGAAATAATCAAGTCAGTCAAACGCAATAATTTAATTGTATGTACGTCTATTTTACTTGTATGAAACAGATAGAAAAATAATCATCACGTTCATCATAAAGACTTGTTAGATGATCAATAACGTCTTTTTCAAGAAAATTTATCTAAATATAATACAGATGAGTCAGACTATTTGGTGTCTTTTATTTCATGTTTAATGGGATATAGTGAGTTGACATGTGAATGGAAGTAACTATTGTTAATTGATTATACGTCGTCGATATACCGTAAATATGTCTAGTTGAAAGCCTCTAGAAGTGTTTTTTTGTATGGTTTTTTGAATATATTTTGCTTAATATCTGGGCGCAATTGGTTGCCTAAGGGAAATGACATAGATGTTGTTTTAAAACTTTTGAGTACTTGTGTTTACTATCAGAACGTTTTTTTAATTTGCAAATGAATATGGTTGTAATATTTTTACATGATAAAAATTAATAGCATTGAGTAACCTTTTGAGAGGGCTGTTTAAATATCCAAAGAAATTAATAGAGAATCAAAGCATTTTTGTAAGCAATAAATACTATGCATTTTTTTTTTATCTGATGGCACTGTAGCTCTATGATCGTCCATCTCAAAGTACAGGGTATATCAGACCAGAGGGCTACAGACTGTAGCATGTTAAAAGATTTTTTTACATTTACTTTTATTTTTTACCAAGAATACATGGAAAAAATCCATAACGAAGACAAGTATGCGGTGGTTATCCATTGTGCACATTACAGCATTTCAAATCCAGAAGGTACATTTAAAGAAAACTAGTAGTAAATAAGAAAGAAAAATTAACAAAAGAAACATTTACCCCGGCATAATAAACCTTTATTAATTTTATATGTATGCACTTTAGAATTGTCCATTACTAGAGATGATGCTCAGACAATAAAGGATATTCTACAAAAGGACGAACAAAGAATGTTAGCCCTGACTGAGGACTTAAAGAGACTTCTGAAAGAAAATAATGTATTTATTATTTATAGCATGTAAACCTTTCAAAGAATATATGCTTTGAAGTTTGTTGACTTTAAAACGATTTGCAGAAATTAATCCATTAATCACTTTTTTTAAAAGTGGAAAAAGGAATGCTTTTATTAATTTCTAGGATATTTAGCTAGAATGCGATATTAAAATATTTATGTACTTTTTATAGATCCCCGGCGAAGTGGTAAGACTTGAAGGAAAGCCTGAAAGTGCAATTATTTCTAAAGCGGAGGAGTTAGACGCATCGTTGATTGTGATGGGATCACGTGGTTTAGGGACAATACGACGAACAATTCTGGGCAGTGTCAGTGAATATGTGCTTCATCATTCTCATATCCCAGTCATGGTCTGCAAATGCGAATCTAATAACAGTACTGAAAAGAATGAAAGCCGGGATTTAATAATCTAAATACATTACAAAGTCCAAAGGAAGGTGTCCCCCCTCTAGCCTTTGATATTAAGCAGACAAAAATTGCAGGATTTGGAATTTCTCGTTGGCATTTAGTTGCAAATTGACAGAATAATTATGATGAACATTAAAATTTATCTAGCTATTAGTGAGGGTTTTTTGTAGGGTATTATTATTTAAATAATAAAAATCAATAAATAATCAATAATTCAATAAAAAGATATTTTATATTGTTTTAACTCTGGGCTTTTGGAAAACAGCCAAACGAATATGGCAAAATGAATATGATAATTATTATCGAGCCTATATCAAAATATTATTTGGTATAATTGTAAGTCTTGTCATCCAATTTAAGATGGGGCCAAAATGCTCATATCCCAAGAAACTCGCGATATTCCTCTAGGCTACATTAAGTATGTGGAAATCACTATAAAAAGTATTGTAGCAAACAAAATAAATCTAAAATTATCTTAACATATTTGCAGGTTGTATTTCAAAAATTGATATTAATGAAACATTAAGATCTTTCTTGATTGCATACTCGGAGCTTCATGAATATATTTTATGGTTTTTTAAAATCTATTTTGAGTTCACCTCGATTTACCATAAAATACTCTGAAAGCACATGCTAATCAAAGAAAGGATAAAAGAAAGAAGCCTCAAACAATTTTTTTTCACAAAACACAACATTGACCGCTCGTATCTGATATAAAATATTTTCTTTATACGGAATTTTCTCTGCTAATTTTCATAAAATATTCACACAAAATTTTAAACACCATATTGATTTTTCAATTAATAACGTAAATAGTAAATGGATTCTGGAAATATATAGCATTTGCAGATCCTTTAATTTTTCCATTTTAATTTTAATATTTAAATTGTTTTAAATCTTCATTATAATATCTAAAAGGGGGCATTTTTTCTATCTTTCATAATTATAAACTCCGAGAAAACTCTAATTTCCATGCCTTATGATAAAAACGCTCATTATTAGGTCAATAACTCGTCAAGATTGCTCTAAGTAAAAGATGTAAATGTGACACGTGGCAACTGAATCAATCTTTCGGTCATAAGATAAATAAAATTTACACGTTATCTATTGTCTGACTTTACCCTTAATATTACTGTCTGAATTTTTAAGGTGTCTTTTTCAAAATTTCAAAGAACTTATGATAAATTTGTTATAGACATTTTATTTTAGCGGTGAAAGGCCTCTTTTATATCATCTTCAGACAAATATTCTTGTATAATTATTTTAGCATAGTATTTGTAATCGTTGCTTCAAATTAAACTTTACCAGATAATATTTTATACTGATTACAAAAGATTAACGATCCTGAGATAAAATTAGTGATGTTGTGTCATCATAGTGTTCTTATCATGCAAAGTCTATAATCTGATGTCAATGTTATTTACACAATAGATAACAAGGTGGTAAATACCAGGTATTTAGTGTTAATGCATGCACACAATGAAAACATATCTTCTGAAATAAAAATGAAGAATGTATTGATAGCTATGGATGGAAGCAAAGAGTCTGTATATGCGTTCAATCGTGAGTATAAAATTCTGAACCATAACATTTACCTTATTTTAAACAGTTCTACGGAATGTTCGTATGTAAAGTGAAACTCTACTGAGCTTTATTACACTTTTTTATTTCTCCTTTGTTATAATTCTTTGTTCCATAATAAATGTTAAGATAATGTACAAGTATATTATAATATGTCTTAACTACACATGTTAGGCAAACGGTGTCTAAGACAAGCTTTTTGTGCATAAAATGTATATTCCAACATTTTTATGGAACATATACATGTTCTGGAAAATTGAAACTTTCAGAATACGCGGAAAAAATACACAACACAAACAACTACGTGATATGTGCTCACTGCGCAGAATACGTAGAGGCGGATCCCGGGGGTAAGTTTGACGGGTGTGATATAGTGTTTGTTTTATTAAAATAAATTGATGGAAATAACAATGTTTCAATCTCATTTGCACCGGGTGTGAAAGTTATTTAATATCTATGTATAAGTAACAAAAAAGTGCCTTCTGACCCCCTCCCCCTAACAGAACACGGGCCTCTCTAAAAGTTGTGAAAGGCAGAGAATACAGAACTTATTTTATGAAAATTGACTCTAGAAAGTGTTCTACATATTTCTTACAGCCCCCTCCTCCAAGTCACTTTGCCGGCAGCAAATTATCAATCAAATATCGAGAAAGTATTCCATTCAAGTTCAAGAATAAATCAGTAATAAAGCACTTAAAATGACGTCTTCGTGCTATTCCACTGATATTTCCGACATGCTCGTTTTTACATGTCAACAATTAATGAAGGTCTTGGTCATATTCCGTTTATCGATTTGTTTTGAGATTACAATCAAATTGTCATTGGTACATGTACTAACTAGTTAGCTTTATTAAACAATAATGATATTGTTAAAATAACTACTAGTTTAAAAGCATAAAAATACAAAACTGGGAAAGCGCATTTCAATTATACAAATTGACAATTTAATTCCTTGTGTTATCGATTTTTCAGGGAATAAATCACTCTGGATACGTTTTGTATGAAGGATATGGAGATAACGAACAGTATTCAATATCAAAGTCCATAAAACAAATACAAAATAGGAGCAGAGCAAACACGGACCTCCAAAATATCAGAGGTGGGATCAGGTGCCATGGTGAAGTGAACATCCCCTGCCGACCGGTCACACCCGCCGCGTGCTCCTTGTCATCATCAGAAATAACGAAAAAATTACGTCGTCAATTCAGTGTATAAATAATGGACTAACAGTTAGTATGAAAAACGTCAGTCAGCATTTGACTCAATGATAAATTGTATTAATTTTTCTGACACGGTCATTGTATCGACCATAGAACTTACGAAATGATAATTTTAAACGAAACTGCTGATATTCTTGTTCATCAACTTGTTCGTCAATAATTTACCTGTTCATACATAGAGCATGTTCTTGCGTATCGAATTAATTGAGATATATAAATTCCGTATGCAGGTAAGGAAGGTATTTTACTGCATAAGTGAGGGAAGTTGACGAAAGAAAAGTTAAAGTCATCTCGTTTATCAAAGAGCTTGGTTGTTAGATTACCATTAATGTCTTTTTCAAGTAAAATATCAAGTATGAAACAGATGTGTCGGACTCTGTGGTATCTTTTATCTCAAGCTCACCAGGATATATCGTATCGACATAGGAATGGAAATAACCTTTGATAATTGACAATACGTCATCGATATATCTATATGTTGAATTGAAGGCCACAGCAAGTGTTTTCGTCTTTTCATGCATACGATTTTGCACAATTTCTGCTTCATATACATACAAAAATAGGTCTGCTAATAACGGAGCGCAATTGATAACCAAAGGAATTCCAATTTATTGTTGGAAGACCTGGTCTCCAAAAACCACATAGATATTGTCAATCAGAAAGTCAAGCATCATTTTTTATGTCAACTTCCGAGTACTTGTGTGTGCAATCAGAATGTGTTTTATCAAAACAAGTTTGCAAATGATCAGTGACCAGGTACGTAAATTTAAGAGTTCCTTTTTTATTGAAAAAGCAGCAGTCAATGATATGCCTGGACTTTAATTTATCATGGGGAATTGTTGTCGTCAGTTTTTAAGCTGTTACTTTTGGTAAAATTTTGTGATTTCAAATTGTCCAAAAGTTCTTTTGAATTTTTTAGTATCCACATCTGATTCACACCACTTCTAAAATACATTGTTGCACAGTACTCTTGAAGTTTTTCCTTCACTAAAATTTTGTTTTTATTATACACCAAATTATTTGAGACGGATAAAATATCAATAATTTTAAATTTGATTTAACATTTGCTTGATTTGTACAATCGCTATGCATTCCTGGCATTCTCTGCAAAATTTCTCGTGAAAGAAAACTTGTGATATAAAATGAATGTGTGAAATCACACATTTCATATCTTTATTATTTATATAGCCGTTATTTAAATATAATCAATTTTCTATTTTTATGTATCTTTTTAAAGTTCTCTCTATTGCTCAAGTCGGTTACGATGTTATTGAGGGATTGGTAGAAGAAGACGAAAAGCGCATATTGTCAATTTTGGACAAAATGGAGAGCTTACTCATATCTAACCAGGTAAAAAGTGATAAATACAGCACCCCATGTCTTTTACATTTCAAAGGAAACACACCAAAATCAATCAACGTCTACACATATTTTTATCACAATAGTAATATTAATGTTAATAATGTTAATGTTAAGTTTACAAAGTCCTGAAACACAATCCTCCAACATGTTCATGTTCTTTTCCCTCTACAACTAAAGTGTCTGGACAAATCATTACTGTTGACGTAAATATAGTTAATAATGAGGACCTTAAATATCTTTCTTTAAAATGTCCAAAATATGGGGAAACCCGATCTTTCAAATGGTTTTATATTTAGTTCATAAATATTATGAATTATGTGAAATAGTTCGCCGGGCGATGGACCAGACAAGAAAAAGAAGAACTTGACACTTTATCACAATGGAATAAAGT